TAAAATATTAATTAATAAACTATTTATTATATTTAGATCACGTGATAATAAACGCGACGGAAATGACGCATAATCTTTTATTGATTGTAAAAAATGTAATTGACGTGGCACTAATCACGACTCTTTACCTTTCCTCCTTTTTTTTTTCTTGTTTTTTACATTCGCTTTTATTTAATTTTTTTTTTTTTTATTAGCTTTGATGTAAAAAAAAAAATGGCGGAAGCGGATGAAAAAAGTACCTGAAAATTTTTTTTTTTTTTTTTTTTTACCTTGGAAAAAAATTTTAATTTCACTGCATTTTCATTTTTTCCTTTTTTTTCCTTTTTTTTTCATTTTTTTTTTTTTTTTGAGAAAAAAGGTTTAAAAAAAAAATTCTCGAGTAATTTCTTTATAAAAGAAGAAAATTTTATTATTATTATTATTAATAATAATTTTCCGACGAAAAAAAACGTTTGACTTGTTTCCCTCGAATGAAAAAATCACTTCCGGTTTTATTCATGATTTTATATTATTATTAAAAAAAAAAAAAAATGAAAAAATTAATTGCATATTTCTCTCTCTCTCTCTCTCTATTTTCTTCGATCTCAATCATTCATTCAATCATTCATTCGTTCGTGAAAAATTAATGATGGCGTAAAATATAATTTAAATGAAATATGATTAATAATAATAATAATTAGGTTTTGAGATAGAAAGAAGTAAAAAAAATTTTTTGAGTTGTTTGCTTGTTGGGGAATGTTTGTCGAAAAGAAAAATAAACAAAAACCGGAAACGGAATATTTGAAATCGTTTGATTTAACGTGAAAACTATGATGTAAATATGAAATTATTTGAAAATAAATTTTTGGAATTTCAATAAAAATTTCCGGGTAGTTTTTAAACGTGAAAATTTCCCCTTGAGTATTAACAAAATCCTTTCATATTAAAAACACGATAAGTTTTCCAACGGAAAAAAAGGGGGAGGGGTTGGAGAGGTGAAGGGGAGGGGAGTCGTGGCAAAAGGAGGTGTGGATGTAAACGTGGTGGGAGATGAAGATGAAAAGAAGAAGAAGAAAATGATGAAGCATGAATGAAAAGAATTAATGTTTAAAGTTTTGAGAAAAGAATTTTGTTTATAAATTTTTTTTAGTTTTCTCCCATCGCCCCCCGCCCCCGCCCCCTCAACAAAGTTTTTACTTTTGTCATTCCAATGAAAATCAGTCAAAGGAAATAAAAAGTAAAAAAAAAAAAGTCAATAAATCAAATGAAAGTTAAGCAAAAAAAAAAAAATCTTGATTTATGATGTTCGAAAAAAAAAACAGGCCGGAAAAATGTCACAAAAAGACAAAGTTTTTTAAAAATGTTTTTTTTTTTTTTTTTCTAATGCCACGTTGTTTTTAAATGAAATTGATGCGTGATGACGTACGTATAACACGGTGTGGAAAATTTACGTCCAAATAAAATAAAATATTAATAATAATAATAATAATAATAATAATAATAATAATAATAATAATTTTTTTTTTCGTTTTTTGCCTTTTCCCGATTAGAATTTTTATCGGTAGCGTATTAAGGATAATTTAAATTTTTTTTTTTTTTTTCATTAAAATTAAAAGTAACAAACAAATTTTCGTTTTGTTAACGTGACGGAATTTTTTTCTGAGAATTTTTTTTCTTCTGCTTTTTTCCTTATTTTTCCTTTTTTTGTTTTTTTTTTTTCTTTTTCAAAAAAGGAAAAAATAAAAGGAGAAGAAAAAAAATCAATGTGAAGTATTTAAAAAAAAAAACAGAAAAGTAAAAAAAAATCCGCGCTGAAGTATTCTTTTTTTTTTATTTATTTTTTTATTTTTTTCGTACTTCTTTTCTTTTCCTTTTTTTCTTCCTTTTTTTCCTTTTCTTCTTTTTCTTTTCAAGAGCATCTTTTTAAATTAAAAAATAAAAAAGTTATAAACTTAAAAAAAAAATATATATATATATATATATTTATTTTTTTTTATATTTTTTTTCAACAAAGAAAAAATCAGAGATAAATATTTGCTGGAAGCATAAAAAAAAAATTAATTTAACAGTGGCAGAAGAATTTTCAAGAGAAATAATAATAATAATAATAAAATATTATTTACAAAAGAATAACTTGAAGAGAAAAAAATAAAAAAAAAATTAATTAATTGATAATTTGATTTTTTTTTCTCTTTTAATTTTTCCTCTTTCTCTTTCTCTATCTCTCTCAATTTTCCATTGGCGAAATTTTTATTTATTTATTTTTTGTTAAAATAAAAAAAAAACTTTTCCTTTGAATACGCGGAGAAGGAGGAGGGGAAGGGGGAATGGGAGGAAGAAAAACGTTTTTTTATTACTTTCGAATTTTACATTATTAAAAAAATGAATAAAAATTTTTTTGTTTTTGTTTTTTTTTTGCCCTGTAATTTTTTAATAAACGTCAAATATTAATTTTATTATTATTATTATTATCATCACCACCACCACCACCACCATGATCATCATTATCATTATCACGAGTAATACAAACTACCCGTTTATTTATTTAAATAAATAAAAAATTTTTTTTCTTCTCTCTTTCATTTTATTCACAAACCAAAACGTTTCGTCTAAAATTAAATTTATTATCATCATCATCGTCATTATTACTATTATTATTATTATTTAATAAATTAATTACGTATAAATTATTAAGAAGAATTTAGTTACAAAAGAAATTCAATTAAATAAATATCAATAAAATTTTATTTTCCTATATTTAAATATAGTTTACGTAATTTTCAATATGAAAAATCGATAAGTTCATGAATGGAATACGTCCCCCCACCTTCCACCTCCGCCCACCTCCCCCCTCATCCCACACCCAACCTCTCCCCATCCGAAAAAAAGGAAATTTCAAAAAGGTTGAAAAAAAAAAAAAATTATTTTTCCTTTCATAAACTTTCTTAACCGTCAGACAGACAGACAAACAGAGGGGAGAGAAAGAGAGAGAAAGAGAAAGAGAGAGTACTTTTGGGAATTTTTCCTTTTAACAAAAAAAAAAAAAAAAACTTTTAATATTTTTCGTGAGATTATAAAACCGGAAATGATTTCGTAATTGAATTTTTTTTTCCTTTTTCCAATCACGATATTAATTTTTCCTTTGGTTTACCGTTTGCGACGATTAAAAAATTTATTATTATTATTACGTAATAGCCTTCTTTTTTTTATGATTATTAAAAGGTTTAAAATTTATTTTCTTTTGTTCTCCTATACCTTTTTTCCTTTTTTCCTTTTTTTAAAATATTTTTCATTGTAACTCGTGAATTTTTAAAAAAATGATCGCGGAATTAATTACAGGTAGAAAAAAATTTTAAAACGAGATAAATTTTATATTTAAAAAAAAAAAAATATTGTCATAACTAAATATCGTTTCTCGTTATTAATTCAGCCAATCAATAAGTCAATCATTCATTCATTCATTCATCTCTTCATGAGTAAAAAAAAAAAAAATTTTATTGGATTAATAAAATTAATCAGGTGTCGAACAAAATCGCCGGAGAGAAAAAAAAACGTAAACCGAAGCAAAAAAAAAAGCCAAGTTTTGTTACGAGGTTAAAAAAGGAAAAAAGGAAAAAAAGGAAAAAAAGGAAAAAAAAACGGAAAAAAACGGAAAAAAGATTTTAACATATAATATAACCTAATCGATGAATTCATAGAACCTGAAAAGCAAGGAAAATTTTCTTTATTTATTTATTTATTTATTTTAAATCGAAACGAAATATTTAAATTCACAAAAAAGAAAAAAAAGAAAAAAATCCGCCATCTTTAAAAACTATTTTTTTTTATCGTCTTTTAAAAAAAAAAATTTAAATAACGGTTTTATTTTTTAAGAAAGAAAAACAATTTTCTATTCGTTACTAAAACGTTTTTTTTTTTTTATATAACAATAATAATTATTATCATTATTTTCCTTTGAAAAAAAAAAAATTTAAATAACGGTTTTTTTTTTTTTAAATTTCCCGCCAAAAAATTTTTATCTTTTGATACACACATATATATGTATATGATTTTAACGACTTTTATTCGGCGGCCATTAAAAAATCATTTGTAATTTAAAAATCCGTCGTAAGAGAGCGTCTTCTACGTCATCACGTGTTTATTTATTATTTACTCTATGATGATGATGATTTTTATTTTCATTTTGTTATTATTATTATAACAGTAATAAAAAACTCATTATGTAGATTTTTAAGGATGTTTAGTTTTTCGTGATGTCAAAATCAAATCGTTCGTAAGTATAACATTATTATTATTATTATTATTATTATTATTATTATTATTATTATTATTATTATTATTATTATTATTATTATTAGTATTAGTATTAGTATTTATTGTACGTCTTCTGCTATTATTATTTTTATCGTTGCAAAAAAAAAAAAAATTTATACATTTTTTGTTTAGAAATTCAAACGTTTCTTTTTTTTTTTGAGGGTGGAGGAGGAGGGGAAGGGGAGGGGTTATCATCACTATCATTATAGTTAATAATGAAATTAATAATAATGATAATACTAATAATGATAAAACGCAATTAATAGTTATTAAAAAATTTTTTAAATTTTTTTTAAATGAAAAATTATTTTTTAATAAATTAATAAAAAAAATTAAAATTAAAAGGAAGGAAAAAAAAGGAATTTAAATTACTCGCGGGATTCCTTTGATGTTTTTCCTTTTTCTTTTTTTTTTCTCCCGAAAAGTTTTACGTACGTTTAAAAAAAAAAATGGCCGACTTTTAAAATTTTATTTTATTTTATTTTTTTATAACTTAAAGAAAAGAGAGAGAGAGAGAGAGAGAGAGAGAAAAAAGAAAGAAAAGAAAAGAAAAGAAAATTAATTCGAATTTTCTAGATAGAAATGAATTGAAGTTTTTTTTTATTTCATTTTTTTACGTAAAATCGTTTTAATTCAGTTTAGTTCTTTTTTTCTTTTTTTTTTTTTTTTCTTTTAGAATTTAAATAGAAATATTATTCTAGTAGAAAATGAATGAATTGGAAGGTTAAGAAAAGGAAAAAAAAAGGTTTTATGTATGTATATATATATATATATATATATATATATACACATTATTATTCGTCTTCTGCTTTTTTCTTCTTTTTGTTCCTCCCACACTCTCTCTCCCTCTCTCTCAACCCCCTTTTTTGTAGCTTTTTTTATTTCTTTCTATACGTTTGTCTCTCTCTCTTCCTTTTTCTTTCTTTATCTAGATTTGTCACTCTCTCTCTCTCTCTCTCCCCTATCTGTAGCTTTTTCCTTTTTTCTCTTTCTTTCTTTTTTTATCCAGGTTTGTCACTTTCTCTCTCTCTCTCTCTCTTTTTCTTTCTATCACAAAATAACATTTTTTTTGCCCCCACAGAATAATTTAAAGTTTTTCAGTTAAATTTACAAAAAGAAAAAAAAAATTTTTTTTCGTCTTTAATTAATAAATCGATAATCAATAAAAACGTCTTCTATTATTAATTTTATTAAATTTAAAATTATCGTAAATTTTTTTTTTTTTATTTGTTACAATCACAATCGTTTTTATTTTTCGACCGTTTATCAAATAATAATAATAATAATAATAATAAATTAAAAGGAAAAAAAAAACCTCCCGTTACGTTTTATAATTATCATCCGTATAAAATTTAATGTGAAAATCATTCATTACATTTTATAATAATAATAATTGAATTTTTTTTTTATTACGTCACGTATTTGAATGTGAGAATTATGGCGGGGGGAATTTTAAATTAATTTTTAAAAAAAAATTTTTTTTTTCCAGGCATTACATTTCGAGATGGATTTTCGTACGAACATCATTTACGGGGTCCATCATTTCACGTTGAACCTCCACCAAAAGTAGAATTTTCAAACACGAGCGGGATATGGATAGATTGTACAGCATCCGGAAATCCACCGCCATCTATAACGTGGATTTCAATCGACGGATCATCCGTCGAAGATGTTGTCGCAGTCAGGAGAGTATTAAGAAATGGAACTTTGATACTTTTGCCTTTCACAGCTGCCGCTTATCGACAGGATATACACAACACGGTTTATAGGTGTATTGCATCGAATGCTGTCGGAAAAATAATGAGTAGAGACGTGCAAGTACGAGCAGGTAAATAATAATAATATTTAAACCGGAAGTTACGAAATGAGAAAACGGTTGTTGAAAAAAAAAATTTTTTTTTTCATTTTCCGGAAAACGCCCGCATTTTTCTTTTTTTTAAATAACTGACCCTACAATCGTAACGCCCACTTGTTCATTTTTCCTTTGGTTTCCTTTTTTTCCATCCTTTTTTTTTGATGAAAACCTTTTTATTATTATAGTTATTTATTTCGACACACTTTTAACCTTTCGAAAAAAATTTTTTTTCGATATACGGAAAATTAAAAAAAAATTTGAACCTTTCATTATTATCCGACATCAAAAGAATAAAAAACTATTTTCTAGAACCTTCTATTGCGCATAATAAACGATTGGATGACCACAAAAACTTTATTGATCAATTAATAATTCCTTTCATCCTTCTACTCCACCCTCTCTATTCATTTATTCCAAAATTTCCTCCGCCATTTTTTTTTTACTACGACGTATAATTTATTAACGTGTTTTTAACAATCAAAATCCTTTTTTTTTTCCGTTACAAATCATTGTTGTCGAATCTATGAAACTTCATCACGAAATAACAACAACAACAACAAATGATTTTGCATAATTTCTACATGTTTTGTTAAAGTGGCATCAGATTCAAGTTTAATCATTAATCATCGTCACTTCCTCTCTCTCTCTCTCTCACTCTCTCTTGCGATATACATGCGGTCACGAATATTCAACGTGTTATCATTTACAATTTTTCTCCCTCTCTCTCTCTGTGTCTGTCACTCTCACTCTTACTCTTTCTCTCTCTCTCACTCACTCTCCCCCCTTTCTTTCCCCCTCACTCTCTCTATCTCTTTCTCTTTTTCTGTCTGATTAAACTCAATCCCAAATTGTAAAATTTCATCTGTGGAAAGAATTTCATTTTCACGTGCGTTTAGAAAAATTAACACAGCAGCTTTGGAAAAAGATTTTTAAACGTAAAATTTTTTTTAAACGTCACATTCCAAAAAAAAAATCAAAGTGGCATTAGCTTCAAAAAATAACGTGTCAGAAGTTTTATTTCGCGTCCCCCAAACGATTAAAACAATTTTTTTTTGTTTCGTGAATTTCTTATTTAATCATTTATAACCACTCTTTTTTTTTTTATAAATTACACGTTAAAAGGTTAGGTTCGTTAACGCCCTTTTACACTCCCCACTCCCCTTACCCTCCACCCTCTTATCTCCACTATCATTTCCGGTTTATTTTATTTATTTATATTTTTTTTTTTTTTAAACATAAAAAACAGATTTTCGCAGAGAGTAATTTTAAAAATGTGGTTTCAAAAACGTTAACACGTGTTTTCTCTCTTTCTCTTTCTCCCTTCCCCTTATGCTCCCTCTTTAGAAAAGGGTTTCGGGAAGAAATATAAATGTTAGGATGTGAGGAGAGGGGTTGAGGGGAAAACGGCATTATCAATTTTCCATTTAAAAATTAATAAGGAAACGAAGGAAAAGAAAAAGGAAAAAAAAAATTAATAAAACATTAACGACGCCATATGAAAGAAATCAATGATTGAAAAAAAAATTCATTCATTCATTCATTCATTCATCGATTTCCCATTATTATTATTATTATTATTTCGAGGGAATTTAAATGGAGGAGAAAAATTTTCACAAAAAGGAAATAAATAAATAAGTAATCGATCGCGCCTGAAAATCATTTTAAAAAAAAGAAAATTCTCAGTTTTCATATATGACTTTGAGCTTATCAACAGGGAAAAGGTTTTCTTCCTTTTTTTTTTTTTCTTTTTTTTTTTCTTCCTTTTTTCGTGCTTTGTTGTCAGAATGTAGAGTGGCTGAAAAGATATCGCTTCTCATAAGTTTTCAAAAAAAAAAAAAAAAAAAATAAGAAAAATAAGAAAAAGGAAAAAAAAAAAACGGGGAAAAAGAATGTCGAAATGACAACTTTTCAATATTTTTCATTTGCAATTGACATTTTTTCTCTCTCTCTCTCTCACTTTTCGTTTTCCATTTTGTATTTTTCTTTTCTTTTTTTTTTTGTTTAACATTTATATTTTTCATCTTAAACTTTTTTTTTTCCTTTTTTTTCTTTCCTTTTATTATTATTATTATTTTTTTTTAATACTTTTTCACGTAAACCTTTTTTTCTTTTTTCATATTTTTTCACTTTTGAATTTTTTTTTTCCTTTTGTAAAAAAAAAAAAAAAAAAAAAAAAAACTTTTAAATAATTTCTTTCTTTTCCTTTTTTCTTTTTTCCATTTTCGTTAACGACAGCAAACAATAAAAGAAAGAAAAAAAGAAACAAAAAATAATAATAATAATAAAACTCCCGCGTAAAATTTTGTTGTTTTTTCCGAGTAAGAAAAAATAATACTAATAATAATAATAATAATACAATTTCTGATTTCGATTATCGTTTTGCGCCCTCGAATTTAAAACAACAAAATTTTCTCTCTCTCTCTTTTTCAAAATGGCGGAAATAAATACGAAGAAATTTTGTGGGAATATTTCCGGGAGTAAAAATTTGCCATTCTAACCATCTGACAAAATAAAAATGACTTTTTTATCCTCCCTTTTCTTCCACCCCCCCACCTCCCCGTATACGTTAAGTTAATATGACGAGTGAAAAGGGGAGAATATAACGTTAACGAAAAGAAGGAAACAAACAACAACAACAACAACCACATACGAATAACAATAACGAAAAATATATAAATAAAAAAAAAAAAGAAACAAACAACAACAAAAAATTGTTTTTTTTTTTTTTTCGGTTTAATACAAATTGAAAAAAATAAAGATTCGTTAAGTTTAGTATTATTTTCTTCTTCTGCTAAACAAACATTTTTAAAAAAATTGTTAAAACAAACAACAAACGACTTACGGGCTTTCGTTAAGTAGATACTTATCCATTCGTCGACATGATATATGACTCTCATGGCGGCTAATAGGGTCCACGGTTATATTTCGTACTTAGATATATGTATATATATTACTTTGAAAAAAATATTTCAACGGTTTTTAAGGAGGGAGGAGGGGTAAGGAGGAAGGAAGGGAGGGATGAAGAAGAGGAAAAGGAAGTGAAAACGCCATTTTTTTTCACGTTCAGCCATTTTTAAAAAGGTGTGAAAAAAAAAAAATATTCCGCTGGGTTTAATTTTTTTTCCTTCTTCTTCATAACAACTGATAAAGATTTTTTTTTTTCCAACTTTATCAAAACCTGGAGAAAAAAATAAAACTGGACGTAATCTTTAGAGAGAGAGAGAGAGAGAAAGAGAGAGAAAACGAAACGAAACGATTACTTTCGTTTTTTTTCTTCTTCATTTTTTGAATTTCAATTTTTAAAAAAATGAATAATTATACGAACGGACTCGACGATCAACCAATCGGAATAAAGTTATTAATTAAAACGATTTACGATTGGTTGAATTAAATTATGCGTTATTAAATTTTATAATTATTTTGTAATCTAATCTAAAACAACAACGTAAATTTTTTTTTATCGTGTGAATTTAAAAAAAAAAAATTAAATTTTATAGTTATGTTGTTGTGCTATAAAAATATAGATGATTTAATCGAATGAAAAATAAAAAAAAGAAAATTCAAAACCCGTGGAAAACCGTGGAAAATTATGGAAAAACATAACCGAAACCCCTTTTCTTTCTCTCCGTCTCTCTTTTCATTTCTCTTTTTTTTCCTTCCTGTTTTTTTCCCCTCTCTTTCCTTTTCCCTTCCTCTTTTTTTTCCTCTTTCTCTGCCTTTCTTTTACTTTTCTTTAACTCTTTCTCTCACTCTCTCTCTCTCTCTCTCTCTCTCTTTCGTTTCCTTTTTTTCGTTCTCCCTTCTTCTCTTTTTCCTTTACTTTTTTTTAAACTCTCTCCCTCTCTCTTTCTCTCTTTTCTTTTTTCTACCAAATTTTCTCTCTTTTTTCTTTCTACTTTTTTCTCTTTAGCTTATTCCCTGTCTCTCTCTACACAAAAAAAAATGCGAATTGAACGGAAAAAATAATAATAATAATAATAGTAATAATAATAATTTTTTATTGTTTGCATTTTAAGAATTTAAAATCAGAAACTTTTCCCATTTATAAACATATACATGTATACTTTTTTGAAAAAAAAAAAAAAAAAAAAAATGGCTTCCAGTAAAATTTCAACGTGAAATTTTTTTTTTATATAAAACTAAATGACGAAATTTTACAAAAAAAAAAAAAAAAAAAATTTTTTTTCTCTTTTGCCGTGCGTAAAAAATGTCGCAAAAATAAAAAATTAATTAAAAATTTTTTTTTCATCCGAGCTCCCTTTCCCTTTCTCTCTCTCTCTCTTCCTCTCTCCCACTCATTTTTCGAATTTTCATTTTATCCACTAATTACGGTAATATATAAATAATTTTTTTTTTTTAATTTTCAAATTATTATTATTATTATTATTATCACATTCGTAACATTTAAACTCGTTATTTTTTATTTTCATATGTTCAATCTTTTTGTTTTGTTTTTTTTATCTAATTCCACGACCCTCATTATAATTTTATAAGGATTTTATCTACCATAAGTTTTTATTTTATTTTTTATTTTTTTTATTTTTTCGTTTCGTTATTTTGAATATTTTGATTTTTTTATTTTCCTGTCGTTTTCGTTTTTGTTTTTCTCGGGGGGTTCCCCCCCTTTTTTTTACGACAGAAAAAAATTTTTTTTTTACGTTTAATACATTTTTAAAAGGAAGCAAACGACCAACTTTTCTTCTATAAACGTATGTAAATATTAAAGTATTTGATAATAACAAAATGGCGTCGTCGATCTGTTTTTTAAAAAGAAAAAAAAATTTTCGGATAATTAATTTTTGATGGTCTTTTCCTTCTCCCCCCCTCTTCCCGCTCCCTTCCCGCTCCCGCCCCTTCCCTTCCCATTTTTTATAAACGTGATAAAAAAATCTGAAAAGGATTTGATGGATAATTTTTTTTGTGTGTGTGTGTGCGTGCGGATTTTAATGGATTTAACGGAAATTAATTTCGATAATCGAATCTTGATTCGATATTATCATTATTATTATTAAGTTAATAAAAGATTTATTTACTCGAAATAAAATCTTTTGTACTCGATTAATTTTTCCCCGACAGACAAATTTCACGCCCGCCCGCTCGCCCCACCTCCCCTCTCTCCTCCCCACAGAAAATTTATACGTATTTGACTTACCTGAATCCGATGAAATTTTATTTTCCTTTGTTTTGTTTTGTTTTCGACAAAGGATTTCTTCTCCAGTCAATCGTTTAATTTCCAGATCACGTGTCGTCATCACTCGTTATCATTATTATCATTACCTTTGATTAAAAATCCAATCGATTCTTTATCGGGGAAAATGAGAAGAAAATTGAAATTTTAAGGAAAACCCCCCAAAAAAAAAATTATTATTATTATTTTAAATTTAGTGACGCGACTTTCTCTCTCTCTCTCTCTCTCTCTAAGTCGTTGAAACTAAACGACAATTTCTTTATTATTTAATACTTTTGACGTCATCATTTATAAGCGACGTCATTAAACGAGAGATTACTGTTGTTATGATTATCGTTTTACATATATCAAAATATTATTTTAATTTTTTCGTAAAGTGCATTTCGAGTCTAATTCCACTGAAAAATTTATAAAGTGGTTTTAGATATCGTTAACGAATATTATCTTACTTTAATTTTTTTATTTGTCGTTGCGACAAAAGAATTTTATTTATTTTTAAATTCATCATTAAAAGGTTTTTAAAAATAATAATTGTACGTAACGGAAAAAAAAAAATAATTGTGACGTCAAAATTTTTCCGTAGCGCAGGTAGTACGAATTTTGTTCAGGGTGTTGAGGGGCGTGAGTTCAAATCACAGCAACGTTTTTTCTTTTTTTCGTAATGAAATTAAATTTATCATCATTATTATTATCGAATGTTTAAAATCATTATCCGATATAAAAATATGTAATATATTCCTCTCTCTTTCGATTAATTTCATTTCGTTTTAATTTAAATTATAGATTGATAAATAAGAAAAAAAAATTTAATGACGCAATTGTAAATTCGTCGAATGTCACGTGACATTCAAATGTGAAATGATGTATGCCGCCGCCGCCGCCGCCGCCATGTTTAAATTATTTACGTTACTATAACTAATAATAACATTTGTCTTACATTTTCTTTTTTTTTGTAATGCACGTGTAATACATCAATATACATATATATTTTGTAATTTATCATTATCATTATTATTAATATACATTTTCTCATTTCGTAATGACATTCCTTAAATATTCAAAGTCAAAACAGTCGTGATGTCATGTCTGGATATTTGATATTATGACAAAATAATATTACCTAATTTACTTTGTATATAGATATTAATGTTTTCTCTTTGGTATTTACGTACGATTCTTTACACTCATTAATGTCTCAATTATAAATAAAATGAAAGATTAAAAAATGAAAATGAAAAAATTTTCATGAAAATAATATGCGCGTCATGCGCGCGCAACTTAAACGACGCCATTAAAAAAATTAACGAACAATTTCGATTGAGAAATAAATGATTTTCGTCACAAATTCGCATCTAATCTTTTCCTTTTTTTTTTTTTTTTTTTTTTTGATATCATCACCTACGACACTGTCGGCCATTTTTCTTTTTTTTAAAACTTTTAATTACAAAAAAAAAAAAATACCAAACGCAACAATTAAAATTTACTTTACAAAGCGACGCTAATAATAAAAATAACGGTTTTTTACCTCATCTCCCATTCCTACGTCGTCAAAGCTAATAATCGCTTACAAAATAATAGATTTCTGAAATAATTTCATTACGTCATAATTAAAAACAACCAATCAGAAACGACTAATTTTTTCTTTCTTTTCTTTCATTCCCGACCTCGCGTTGTTGCGTTTTAACGACTTGAAAATTGGAAAAATTTTTTTATTCGAAAACTTTTTTTTATTTGGTTTCTTCTTCCTTTTTCTTAAAGTTTTTTTTTTTGCTGCTGCTGCTGCTGTACCTCCCCAAAGGTTTCCTTTATTTATTTCTTTTTAAAATCTTTTCATCTAACAAAAAAAAATTTATCAATTTTGTAACGTTCTACTTTTCCATTATTTACAATTAATAATTTTGATTGATTCGTTTAACTTTTTCATTTCCGGTTTTTCTTTTTTTTTGGGGGGGAGGGAATTTTTTTTTTTACGGTGGCTTTTAGTTTTAATTATTTTTTTAAATAAAATTTTCGTTTTTATCTCGTAAAGTTTTTTAATAAAAGTTTACGTTTTGTTTTTATTTTTTTCCAGTCGTTATTCAAGCCTACAAAGTTTCCATTGAAGTTTTAAGTGCCTCGAGAGGATGTACGGCCATACTTAGATGTGTCGTACCTAGTTTCGTTAAAGAAATGGTTAAAGTTGTTTCTTGGGTTCAAGATCCATCGACTTACCTTTATCCAAAATTACAAGGAGGTTTGTATAAAAAAAAATAAACTTTTTCATCTCTTTCCTTTGCAATATTCATTCTCTCTCTCTCTCACTCTCTATTGTTCGAAACAAACAAATATTTAAAAGTTTGTCGATATTTTTTTTTTATTAACAATAACAACTAAAACAAACAGAAGAAAAATAAATAAAAACAAGAAATGAGAAAAAGTGAGAGAAAGAGAGAGAGAAAAAAAAAGTAATATTAAAATATATTGAAAAGAAAAAAGAAAACGAAAATAAAATAAATTAAAAAAAAGTAAATTTTCTTTCTTTTATTTTTTTTCTAGAAAGAAAAAGAGCAAAAGGAAAAAAAGGAAAAAGAAAAACTTTCATTTAATTAAATAATTTAAAAAAGAAAAATTTTTTAACCGTCGAAAAACGTTCGACATAAAAATTAAAAACAATAAAATTTATTTATTTTTCTAATACATATATATATTTTAATTAAAAGCAGAAGATATTTTTTATAAGAACGTTTGTTTTTATTTATTAAATTCTTATTATTATTATTATTATTATTTTACAGATGGAAAATATCACGTTTTACCAACGGGAGAATTATTAATACATAATTTACAATTAAATGATCAATATCCGCAATACAGGTGTCGTACAATGCACAGATTAACTCGTCAAGTTGTCGGAAGTCCTCCTGCCACGATTCGCATTTCCGGTGAGTTTTTTTTTTTTTTAAATTAAATTAAATTTTTTTTTTGCTGTTGACTTTCTCTCTCTCTCTCTTTTTCTTTCTCTTCTTCGTTCCGGACAATTTAATAAAAAAAAAATCAAATCTTTCGTGTCAAACGAAATTGATTTGTTTTTATTATTATTATTATTATTATCATCGTGGAACTAGTACTATACCATCTATTTATCTTTTTTTGCCATTTTCTAAATGTCTAAAACAGTGACGTAAATTAGGGTAATAAAATCGGATTTTAAACGAACGGGCTTTGACATCAACGAGTGATTAATTAATGATTTTTAAGCTCTTGTAATTGCTGTCGTTCGAAAATCGTTGAACCATTTTTCCTTTTTTTTTTTATTTTTCTACCCCTCCTCCCCTCTTCGTGTCCTTTTTCATTTTCATCATTTCCGTTTCGCCCTTTCTCTCTCTGTTTGCCTTTTCCTCTCGCTCACTCTCTTTGTCATTTCCTTTCTTCTCTCTATCTTTCTCTTTTATTTTCTGTTCTCTCTATTTATCCCCCCAAATTTCTCCCTTCCTCTCCTCTCTCTCTGTGTCTCTTTCTTTTTTTATTTTTCTCACTTGTTCTCTTTCTATCCCCCGATTCTCCCTCTCTCTATGTCCTTTTTTTTTCTCTCTCTCTCTCTCACACTCACTCGCGTATTAATTGTGAATGGTTTAAGTCTTGTAAAAACAAAAAAAAAAAACCGGAAATTTAATTATTAATTCCTTAAAGGTACAAACAAAGGATTTAAAAGATTCTTCTTTCAGAGCGGAAGTAAAATCAACGACAGAAAAAAAAACAAAAAAAAGTGACGTCATTAAAAAGGGAAACAATCGATTTTCCCATTGGAAAAAAAAAAAAATTAAATTAAATTTGACTTTTTCGACTTTTTTTTTTAACCAAAACTAAAAGGAAATGACTCGATTAAAATTCAAATTAACCGTTAACAGGAAATTGAAAGTTTTTCAAAAACAGGAAATAATTTAAAGCCGAAATTTTTTGATTTTTTTTTTATTTCGGTGAGGGAGGAATAGGGATGGGGAAAAACTCTTCGATTAAAAATAAAAAATTTTTTTTTTTATTTATTTATCGGTTTGTGAAAAGAAACAATAAAAAAAAATTAATTTGTTTGTTTGTTTGTTTGTTTGTTTATTTATCGTTAATAAATAAATTTTTAAAACCGGTTCAAAAAAAAAAAGAAATTTTCTCATTGGTCGGATCGCCAAGTCCTTTTCAAAAAAAAAAATGAAAATTTACAAGGTTTAAAAAGCAATAAAAAAAAGAAAACGTTATTAAGAGACCGTTACGAATCGACCTGAGGAGAGGGGTGAGGGTGCGGGAAAAGGTAAAAATCGTGGGAAAAGAGGAGGATAGGAGAGGGGAGGGGAAGGGGATAATTCAACCGTCATTTGCTTTTTTTCAAATTTAAATGCCCTAAAAAGATCAAATAATTTAAAATAAAAAAAAATTTTTTTACGTTTTTTAATTTTTTTTCCTCCTTTTTTTTTCAAATAAAAAAAAAAAAAACCGAAGGGAGGGAAGGGGAAAAGGAAGGGAAATCATAATAAATATTTAATTGTGCCTTAAAAATGACGTCAAAGGTAAATCAGGTATTTTAAAGTAACGGAATTAATTATGCATTAAAAAAAAGGTAAAAAGCGGCTCATCTCGACATTAAAAAAAAAAAGAAAAACCGAATCAAAATGGCAAAAAAAAAGAAAATTAAAATTTAGAATTAAAAAAAAAAAGTTAATAATAATAATAATAATAATAAAAGAATTAGTCTTGGTAGGGAAAAAAAGGGAAGTAAAAAAAAAACTGGAAAAGATAACATAATGAAAAAAAAAAAAAAAAAGACTGACTGGAAGCTTAGTAAAGGCTTATTATATTAAATTTTTCTGATTAAAAGAAGGTAAAAAGACTCTTTAATTATTACCCGTAATAAAAAAGTAAAAAAGAGAAAAACGGAAATTATTACGTATTTAAAATAAAAAAAAGAAAAACGATTTTTAAATTACGTCAACAAAGATATAAAAAAAAAAGAGAGAGAAAATTGGCAACGTGGTAGTGGTCGTGGTGGTGGCGGTAGGTGGTAGTTATGAAAAAAATAAATAGATGGCGTTAAAAAAAAATCGGCGGAAAATTTAAAAAAATCATAATTTAATACCCACCGAATTCTTATTAAACGTGCGCCGCCCATAAGATAACTACGAAAAAATCGATTTTTTTAAATTTCGATTTTTTTGGAAAAATTGACGGGAAATTCAAAATTTAAAAAAAAATTTATTTTAAACGATTTACACACAAACAATTTCGATCCATTTAATTGAATTTTTTTTTTTTTTGGGGGGGGGATTTAATCGAAATAGACTTTACGATGATGTTGCGTAACTTCCCACACCCCCCCCCCTCAAAACTCCCCAAATCCTCGTGTTTATGTTACTGCCAAAAAAAAGAAAATAATTAGAACATTAAAACACAATGAAAACTTCGATCGTTCTTTTTTCTTTATTTTAATTTTGATTTTGCGCGCCAAATTTTTTATCCATTATCCTCCCTTCTTCCCCCTCTCCCTCCCACTTTCTTCTCCTATTACTTACTAATAAAAAATTAATTAATATTTTTATTACTTTAATATTAAAGTCGTAAAATAATAAAAAATTATATACGTATAAATAGTTTAAATATTTTAAGTTTGTTTTTAACAACAAAAACAAAAACAATATCGAAAAATATTTTATAGTTTAATAATAAATAAATAAATTTTTTAAATTTATTTATTACGTAATTTTTCAAATAATAATAATAATAATAATAATGGCGGTGGTTGTAAGAATTATTACGATCGGCTAAAGGAATTTTTAATGGTTTTTATTTTTTTTTAAACAAAAAACTAAAAACAAATGTTTTTTGTTGTTGGGAAAAAAAAGAAAAACCGGAAACGGAATCGACAAAACCGTTCGTTGTAGTAGTCGAAAAGGTGCAAAAAAGGTTTTTTTTTTTTATTGTGTGGCAAAATGAAAAATTAATAACGAAAAAAAGAAAAAGAGGAAAAAAGGACAAAAAATAATTTTTTTTAAAAATTTTAATGAATTTTCCAGGTTGACATTTGCTTAATAAATTTTTTTTTTTTTTCCAGGACCGAAGAATCTGTCTCATTTTATTGATTTATTAATTGACGGGAAAAAAGTTTTGAATTTTTTTTTTTTTGCCATCCCGTCAAAAGTTATTTAAAGGAGAGAAGGGGGAGGGAAGGGGAAGAAAGGGGAATCCTTAACCGAGTTTGTTTTGATTAAAAAAAAAAAAGGAAAAAGAAAAAAGAGAAAAAAAAATTTATTTGATTTTGTTGTTGTTGTTTTTGTTGTTGTAATTCAACGGTTGGTATCACTGATTTAAATAAAAAAAAAAAGGAAAAAAATCCACGTCGAATTTATAAAAAAAAAAATAAAATAATGAAAGGAGAAGAAAAAAAAAAGGTTTCCTCGAAATGATAATAATAATTTTTTTTTTTATTTTTGTTCTTTCTTAGAATTGCGCGGCGTTATTTCTCCTGCTATAGTCGAACATTCTGGAACTTTACACGTTGAACAGGATGAGGGAATTGTCATGCTGTGCATTGCTCAAAGTTGCCCGTCTCCCGATTACAGGTAAAAAAAACTTTTTTCATCCTTTGTTTTCCCTACGACACACACACACTACGATAATCTCCCTTTTTTTTCCTTTTGTCTTTTCTAGGATTTAAAAAATTCTCTTTTTTTGTCTATAATATAGTTATAGCATAAATTTTCTACCCGCTATAAAAAAGAATTTTTTAAATTAAAATTAACAAAAAAATTTCATCCTTCGAATTGAAATTCGCATTTAAAAAATTCTTTATTTAAAAGAAAAAAATTAATAGCGCTATATTTTTTTTAAAGTTTATAATAACTGCCCCCACCTTACCCTTCCTTTCCCTCTCGCCCCGGGGAAAAAAAACATTTAAATAATAAAAAAAGAAAACTACACATAATTACACAAAGGAAAAAAAAAATTTTTTCCCTTTCAATTTCGATTCGATAAAAAAAAAAGTAAAAATTTATAGCTAGCTATAAATTTCTTAAAATTTTCACACGTTCAAACTACAAAAAAAAGTATAAAATAAAATAGACAACAAAACAAAATGGCGGGAGAATTTTTAAACGCATTGAAATTTTTTACAACGCACTTTTTTGTTTTTTTTTTTAAATTTAAAATCCACTATTTTTATTTTTTCCAATTTCGTAAAAAATTTTCTCTTTTTTTTTATCAACGAATAGAATTTTATAGCGCGATAAAATAAAAAGAAAATTTTTTTTTTTTAAAGATGGTTTACGTTTTCTGGAGCCGAACCCGTTTTAATTATTCCGGGACCTAAAACACATTTATTAGGACCAATATTAGCACTCGAAGCTGTAACACAAGAAGATTCTGGAATTTATAGATGTTCGGCATCGAACGTGGGAGGAGAAGCAAGCGCCGAATTACGTCTCGTCGTCGTTACTTCCTTACACGTCGAAGTGTCACCATCGGTTTTAAGCGTACATATTGGCGGCACTGCCGAATTTAAATGTAACGTACATTCAGAGGTAAATAAGTCAAAAAATTTTATAACAAATTCTCTCTCTCTCTCACTCATCATTCTTTGTAAAAATTTTTCAAAATGGCGTCGTCAGAAAGGGTTGTTTAAATGAAAAACACTTAATAATAAAAAACGTTTTATTTTAATATATACCTATTAAAATTTTTAATAAAGAGATATCGAACGCTATAATTATTATATCAATTGCTATATTTACCTCTATAATTTTATGTTTCGTAATAATAATAATTTATGAACACCTGATCTCTCTCTTTCTTTATCTTTTTAATTTAAATTTTTAATTATTATTATTTTTCCAATTGTTGTTGTTAAAGTTTATATATATATGAATTTAACGTTTCAGGGACAGTATAACAGACCTTATATGATATCGTGGTTTAAAGATGGCATGCCGTTACCAGGTACGGGTAGGCACAACAGCGATCATTTCGTATTGAGAGGTGTTACGAGAGACGATAGAGGAATGTATCAGTGCATTGTAAGAAGATCAGAAGGAGATACGGCGCAATCATCTGGAGAATTACAATTAGGAGGTAAGAATTATTATCATTATTAAAACGGTTTCCGATTTTTAATTAGACTCGCTCACGAAATCGCTCCCGCACTCACGCACTCGCGCACGTCCGCACGCACAAATAACATTAAAAAATTTATTTTTTTTCCCCCAGACCGTTTCTCCCCCTCCCTCTGATTTTTCAATGTTTTTACCGCCGACTCGTGAGGAAAAAGTTAAAAATATCAAATTTTACACCCCTCCCCGCCTTCCCCTTCTCCTTTGTTTTTCTGGAAAAGATTTTTTTTTTTTATTTTTGCTGGAGAAAAAAAAAGTTTTTATTTATTTTTATTTTTTTTATTTTCCTTTAAACCGAACCTTTTTCCTTAAACTTTTGCCAAATGTCGTCGTCATCCTCGTTGTCGTAGTCGTCGTCGTCGTCGTTTGAAAAGTTCAACAGATGCTTATAAAAAAAAAAAAAAAAAAACATGGCAATCGTGATAATAATGATAATAAAAAAAATTATTTCAAGAGAAAATTTTTTCCTTTTTTTAAACGCGCACAACAAGTGAAATTTTATTAATAATCTTTGTTTTGCTACGCTTTATATATATTTTTGTCAAAAGTAATTTTTTAATTAACTTTTATACGGTAGCAAAAAATAATAATAATCATAATAATAATAATAATTTTTTCCGGATATGTACGAATGAATATGTCGGAGGTGGTTAGTGAATAAATGAAAAAACTTATTGTAATAATAATAATTACATAAACGTATTATTAACTTTTCTTAATATTGATTTTCTGGAGTTAAAGAGCAAGAGAGAGAGAGAGAGAGTAAGAACCGAATGAAGGAGAAAGAGAGAAAGAGAAAACGGAAATGAATGTGTTAGATGATAAAAGTTTTAATTATTATTGAGAAGTTAAAAAAAAAAAGAAAATTTTCTTTTTTTTTTTTGGCTTTTTCACTTTTTGGAGATTTCAAAACTGGAAAATGGAATTTAAAATATATAAAACAAAAGATAAATTTAATGAGCTGTCCAATCAATTACGTTTAGACCCTGGAGAAAATTTTCAAAGCAATTTCCACACGTTAATCTTTTTCCTTCCGGCCCCCATGTTTTTTACCCATACACAAATCCACTCTTCGTCACTTATACACACTCTCTCTCTCTCTCACTCACTTCTCCCAATTATTTTCACGGGGATTTCATTTTATATGAAAGATCACATCATAAACAAAAGTATAAAGAGAGAGAGGGGGGAGGGGGAGGGGGAGTAAGTTAAAAAAGTTAAAACTTAAGATCCGAACATAAAGTTTAAATTAACTTTTTTGATTTATTATTTTTAACCATCTTTATTATTATTATTATTATTATTATTATTATTATTATTATTATTATTATTATTATTATTATTTTGTTATTTTCTCTTGTCAGTTTCAAATGAAAACTCTTCTCCATGATTATTTAACTTCTTCTCATCAATCATAACCTGTTTTATTTTTTAAAAAAAAAGTCGCCCGAAAATGGGGAAGCGACAAACGAGAGGAAATGAGTTTCCCCCTTTCCCCCACCCACTTAACCTCACCTCGGGTTGGCAACATTGTTTTTTTTTTTATTTTGAAAAATTTTCTCTCTTTGTTGTTAAAAATTACACACGACACATATTTACGTTGTTTTGTTAAAATTTACCATCACCCCCACCACCACCATCACATCTTCTTCCTCTTCCTCCTTCTTCTTGCAATTATTTAAATTTTAAATGTTTGTGCGTAAGTAAGTGCGTACGTGCGTGTGCTACCGCGTACAATTTCTTAATTAGAAATGTCTTCTTTACGAAGATTTGTGGGTTTAAGTTGTAATTTAAAAATTTTTTTTCTTTTTTTTTTTTGTCGTCGTTATGTTGGTAATTTTATTATTTCGTAACAACAACAACAACAACGCGCTCGACGGTTCGTTTAAATGAAACTTTTTTTCCTTTTTTCCTTTTTTTTTTCCTTTTTTTCCTTTTTTTTCCTTTTTTTTTCTTTTTTTTCCTTTTTTTTTTTTCCTTTTTTTTCCTTTTTTTTTCCTTTTTCTCGAGCGTGTGTCGCAATCTCTTGAACAATAGAAAAATTTTTAAAAAAGTTTTTACCCTTTTATTATAATTATATGTTAATTATTATTATTATTTTTTTAATTGATTTTAATTATTATTATTATTATCTCGGTTAATTATTATGTAAAGAAAATTAAGTTGGTAGCATTGGGAAGTGGGGTGAGAGAATAAGTTAATTGTAAAAATCAAATTTTTTTAATTTTTTATTAAAATTTTTATTTTTTTCTTTTCTTATTCTTTTCCTCGAAAATATCCGGAAATAAAATTTTAATAAAAACGTTAAAAACTTTTCTTTTTTTTCCATTTCCGGTTTGAATTTTAACGGCTTTTTTTCGAATGTTTCCCTACGAATTTTTATTTTTTTTTTTTTGTAAAAGAAAAACAAGTTTTATTATTTATTATTATTATTATTAAAATTTAAATTTGCTTTTTTTTTGGCGGGTTTTGTTTGTTTCATTTTTTTTTTTTAACTATCGTTCCAGGTTTTCATCCGCCATTTTGATTTTTTTTTTTTTTTTAATTTCGTCGAAATTTTTTTATTATTTTGTTTTTGAAAAATTTTTTTTTTCGTTTTCGCATTGCCCTATTCCCGTTTTATCCCGGTTACAAAAAAAACAGGATAGCAGTAACATAATAATAAATAAAATTTCCTGGAAGAGTTTTTCTTTTGTCTGGAGAAAAATAACGACGACGAGTGCCAAAAAAAATTTTTTGCCCCGATCAATCACGTGATTAATATTCAAAAGAAATTTTTCTTCATTTGCTCCGCCCACAATCCTCCCCTCCCTTCCTCTTTTTTTCCTATTCGTTTAAAATATTTTCTCACCTTGCAAAAAAAAAAATAAAAGAAAACCATAATTCAAATCGGTCAAGTTAATTTGGTCTATGTATAATAATAATAATATCTCCATGAAAATAATTTTTTTTTTTATTAACCGTTTTCCGAGTAATAATGAGCCTACGCACGTGTATAAAATGACGTCACGAAATTTTTTTTCTTATTTTTCTTTCGGGTTTTTTTTCTTCCCTTTCCCGACAGGAAAACCCATCGTTTATATTTGCATAGTCATTGTAAATTCTTTTTTTTTTCTGGAGAAAAAGGAAAGGAAAGATTGTGTAAACACAAAAAGTTTCAAAAAAGGAAAAAAAGTTGTGAAAAGATTTTTTTTGAAAAAAAAAAAAAAAAAAATATAATAAAATAAATTTCGAGGAGGTTTTTTATTTTTTTATTTTTTTTTATCCCCCCGACGAAACGAGAGTGAGAGAGAGAGAAAAAAAATATACCTGAAAAAACGGTAGTAAATTAATTTTATCTTCTGCTTGCCGAAGCAAAAAAAGTCATCGTTTCCGTTTTGAAGGAGGAATGATGATGACGTCGACAGGTGGTTGACGCAGTTTACTTTTATACACACCATAAAACTCGTGGAAATTCGTTTTTTTTTTTTCTTTTTTTTTCCTTTTCCTTCTTCCTTCTTTCTCCTCCTCATATTCTTCCTTCTCATTCTCACTCCATTCACTCCACTCTATTCACCTTTTATATTTTTTTTTATTTTTATTCCCACCTACTACTTTAACCTCTTGAACTTTTCACGATATTTATTTATTTATTTTTTTTTATACTTCAACCAGATACTCCACCGTCACTTTTATACAGTTTCATTGAACAAACGCTACAACCGGGTCCCCCAGTTTCATTAAAATGCAGCGCTGCTGGAAATCCAACGCCGCAAATAATTTGGACTTTAGATGGTTTTCCACTACCTAATAACGGAAGGTAAAAATTTTTTTTTTTTTCTTCTTCTTCTCTTTCTTACGACGCCATTTTGGCACTTAATTAAACAAAAAAAATTTACAATTTCATTAATGTTTTCTGTAATTTCTGTCGGACATTTTCTTTGAAAAAATCATTATATTGATATCGACAAGGTTTTTTTTTTGGGGGGGGAATTGGGAAAAATCACCGGATTAAAATGATAAAATAAATTTGTATTATTAATTATTATTATTATTAACGAGAAAACGTACTATATAAGCTATAAATAAAAACGATCGAATTTACCTCACGATGCTGTTGATGATGATGATGATAATAATAATAATGAAACTTTTCGCATCTCTTAATTACTTTTAAATTACCTTGTAAAAAAAACAAGACGAAAGTAAAACAATGTTAAAACGTTTGCATAGGATAAAGTAAATAAATAAAATTAAAATACGAAAGGTTAAGGAAAAATTCAAAATCGTCAAGAGAAAAAACATGGCGGCGATGGCGGTGGTAAAAAATTACGACGAAGAAAAACGTAAGAGAGAGAGAGAGAGAAACGATGAGGAAAAAAAAAGAGGAAGGAAATGAAAAAGTAAAAAAGAGAAAAATTTCAAGAGTTATGTTTATGAAAAATAAACGGAAAAGTGAAAAAAAAAAAGAAAGTGGTTTAAGAAACTAAAAAGAAAGAGAGAGATAGAGAGAGAGATTAAAAAAAAAAAAAAGTAACGGAAAAGGAAAACATTATGCCGTCACCTTCAATAAAAAAATTCATCAATTATTCGTGAGTGGCTTTTCTCGTTATTTTTCTTCTCTTTTTAAAAAAAAAATACATTTCTATTAAAAATAATAATAATAATAATAATGATGATAAATAAAATATCAGAAGATGAATCGGTTGACGGGGATAAAAAAAAAAAAAAAATAAATTATCTACTGCCACGTTTTAATTTTTTTAATGCGGTTAAAACGAAACACGTTTGTTTGTTTTCAAAAAAAATAACGTGAAATTTTTTTTTATTGTTACGAGGTTTGTGATTGGACAATATATGACCGTACACGGTGACGTAATAAGTCACGTGAACATAAGTCAGGTAGCTGTTGAAGACGGTGGAGAATATACGTGCGTTGCGGAAAATCGTGCGGGAAAAGTTTCGCATTCCGCGAGACTAAACGTTTACGGTAAGTTAGACATTAATATTTAATTCCTCGTCCTCGTCGTCGTGTAATTAAACTTAAAAATTTTTTTTGTTTTTTTCCTCCATTTTTTTTTTTATTTAAGGACTTCCGTACATAAGATTAATTCCAAAAATTACAGCAATTGCTGGAGAAACATTGAGACTGAAATGTCCCGTTGCTGGATTTCCAATCGAAGAAATTCATTGGGAACGAGGTAAGATCCACCATTTTGTCTTTTCCGTTCGTTTCTAACGACTTCATCGTTTTTTTTTTTTCAGGTGGAAAATTATTACCTGTCGAAATACGTCAAAACGTCGAATCGGACGGTACTCTCGTTATAATGTCGGTACAAAAAGAAACAGACGTCGGTGTTTATTCCTGTTGGGCTAAAAACAAACAAGGAAAAAGTGCAAGAAGAAGCGCGGAAGTTGCTGTCATAGGTAAAAATATATTTATTGCCTTAAAAAAAAATTTTTTTTCACACAAATAGTTTAATTTGATGACGTCACATTCGAATAATTCGACGACCGTTATTTTGGAGTTGTTATCATCGTTTATTGCATTCCAGGTTTTTTCTTCCTGGAAAATTAATTTAAAAAAAAAAATTCGTGTCGTTTTTTTTTTTTTTTTTTTCTTACATTGTGTTATTTCAGTTCCTCCTAAATTAACCTCATCACCCGATCGTATACTTAACGCTGGTGAAAGAGCCAGTCTCACGTGTTCAGTTATCAAGGGTGATCAACCCATGTCTATGGCATGGTTAAAAGACGGAAGAGGAGTTGATAGTCAAAGTATAACGATTAATCAATTGGATCAATACAACAGTATTCTTCTAATAGAGAGTTTATCGCAGGACCACAACGGAAACTACAGTTGCTATGCTAGAAATGCTGCTGCCGAAGTTTCCTACACGACACAATTGTTTGTCAACGGTAAACGACCATATTCAAAGCTGCACGTGGCGCCAGAACAAAAAAAAAAAGAAACTTTTTTTTTTTAATTGTATATATATATATATGCTCGAATAATTTTTATTTATTTTTTTTTTTGGAAAAGTGTTTTCGTTTTATTCTTGCTCTCTCATGTTTGTGGTTTTGTTTTGTTTTTTTTTTGTTTTTTTTTTTTATTTTCTTTTCTTCTCTAAATGCAGTTCCCCCTATAATTGAGCCCTTTTCCTTCCAAGACGGGCTTTCTGAGGGCATGCGCACTCGCACGGTGTGTGGAGTCAGTCAAGGGGATCCCCCTCTGACCATCACTTGGCTAAAAGATGGCGGGAGTCTTCCTCCGCATCTCGGAGCAAACTATACTACTCTTGATGCTTATTCTAGCCTCCTCAGCATTCCTAGCCTCACCTCCTTACATTCTGGTGATTATACTTGCGTTGCCTCGAATCCGGTGGCCGAACTCAGGTACACGGCCAAGCTACTGGTCAAAGGTACGGGTAGTTATCGGTGTTGAAAAAAAAAAAAATATATATATATATACACAATCACACACGTTTCGAACATATATAATGTTAATAAATAATAATAATAATACAAATATTTTTTATTTAATTAATCGCACATGTAAACACGCAAGCAAATTATATATGTTCCTCTTTCTTTCTTTCTTTCTTTCTTTTCTTTTTTTTTTTTTAACGAACAAACAAACAAACGAAAAACCTTCACCCGACAGATGTTTTTGGTACCCCACAAAATTGCTTTTCGCACTGCAGTCACAAGGTACTGTATTATTATTTGTTATGTTTTCCTGCACTTTTGATTCATATGACATATATATATATATATATACATAATGCACGTGCCTTTTTTATTTTATTAATCGTAACGCTTTACGTTTTGCTGTAGTTAAATTTTTGTTTTTTTGATTGAATCTTGTTTCTTACGAACCGCCTAAAAACAACAAAAACAATTTTTTTTTTTTGCTATGGTTTAAATTATTTTTTTTTTAAACTCCTTAAAAAAAAAAAAATAAAAAAAAAAGTGGAAAACATATAATTTTATATATTAAACGTGTACAATGCGAAACGCACGTGCACACGACGTGTATGTTTTTCCATTTACGTAAAATAAAAATTATTATTATTATTATTATCATAACAAATAAGAAAACGATTGTTTTTTTTTTTTTTATAAAGTTAAAAAAAAAAAAAAAAAAAAAAAACAAAACTCAAATCGTCGTTCGTTTTCTTATTTGTTTAACTTTTTTTTTCTTGGCTCGTACACAGAATGTTTCCGCCATTTTTTTTTTGCTGACGTCAATTATGCTTTTCACGACAGCAAATTTAAAAAAATTTTTTTTATTGTTTTCAGCAAAAAAAAAAATTGCGGAAACATGTTGTGCACATTTCAAAAGTGGGTTTACTCATATTTTTATTATTATTGATAACGAAAAAAAAGTTTAACCGTAATTATTATCATTATTATCGATCGTATTTATCAATTATTTATTATTATTATTATGTATCACTATTATTAATTAAATCACGAAAAAAAACCGTTTTAGTTAAGTCAAGTTAATAATTTGCTTTTTTGCCACCGTAATAATAATAAAAAAAATTTTTTTTTTGTAGCAAAACACGATACGAACCCTTTTTAATCGCTTTACCGCTACCTCCACCCCCCCACTCCCCCCCACTTCTACCCTTGTATCACTGAATCGTATATACATAACGTACGTAATGAAAGCTATTAAAAAAAAATTGTATATTCATGTGAATAATAATAATATTAAATAGGATGTGTAATAATAAATTAATTTTTTTTTAGTTTTTATGTTTTCTTTTATGTTTTTTTCTCCTCCATTTCGTTTTTTTTTTTTTTCACTAATGAGAATCCATTAATGTTGTTTTTATTTATTTATTTATTTATTATTTTGCGGTAATTATATAGTCGAAGTAATAATAAATAATAATTAAATCCGTGTTAGTTATGTGTATAAATAATACAAAAAACACACACACAACACAACACGCTCGCACACATCCTCACGTAATAATAATAATAAACGTTTATATTGTTATTATTAGTATTATTATTATTATTATTAGTATCGTCGTAAAGATTTTAATACTTTTATATACGCGTGCGTACACACGTGTACTCTTATGTAATAAATGAAGGGTGTGTAGGTTTATGAAAATGCTGTCGGATTAAACGTTATTATTATTATTATTATTATTATCATTATCATTCGGTCGGTTGTGTTTTGTTCGTTTAAATCCGACAGCATTTTATTTTATACGTGCGTAAGGTGAGTCAATTATTATTATTATTATTATTATTTTTAAAAAAATGAAAAAAAAACGAGTATTCCTACTGAACGTACATAATATGATTTTCAAAAAAAAATTGCACAGGGGGTTTGTGTTTGTTGAAAATGGGAGGGGAGGGGAGATAGAAAAGGGGGAGGAGGGTGAGGGTAAAAACCACCCCCTTAAAAAAAAACAAAACAGAAAATTTAATTTTTTTTTTCTATTTTTTATCACTCACAGTTCCGCCGAGGTGGACTATAGAACCCAACAGCGAAATAAGCGTTGAAAGAAATCGTCACGTGATGTTACACTGTCAAGCGGAAGGAGTACCAAAACCGAACATCGTTTGGAAAAAAGCAACATCCGGTATTACACCATTTTAAAAAAAAACTCTAAATTCTAATAATAATAATAATGATAATTTTGTTGTTTTTTTTTTGTTTCGGTTGGTTCCGAGGTGGTAAAAGTGGCGAATACGAAGAAGTGAGGGAAAGAATACACACGAAAATATTTTCAAACGGTTCCCTCCTTTTACAAAACATAAAAGAAGATAAAGAAGGTCTTTACATGTGTCAAGCAAATAACGGAATCGGAAATCCGATAGGAAAAATGGTTCAGTTAAAAGTTAATTGTAAGTATTTTATCATCGCTATGATGACGTAATAATCTATAAATAATTGATAACTCGTACCTATTTTACAACAGCATCTCCATATTTTTCAACTCCTTCGAAACAAGTCACGGTGAAAAAGGGTGATGTTGCAGTTTTACAATGCGATGTCAAAGGTGATAAACCTATAACGATATCGTGGTTAAAAAATGGAAATGTTAAATTGACTCCTCAAAATAATTACAGGTACCCCAATAAAATCTTTGTAAATTTATTGTCTTTAACAACAATAATAATAATGATAAAATTTTGTAGAATTTCCGTCAAACAAGATCTTTTACCGGAAGGAGTGATGGCCGAAATACGTATAACAGGTTCGGATTCAAGCGATAGCGGTGCTTATTTTTGTCAAGCTAGTAACGTTTACGGAAGAGAACAACAAATGGTTCAGTTGTTTGTTCAAGGTACGAATGTATATTTTATTAAACAAAATGGCGAATGTTGTTAAACGAATTTGCTTTTTGTTTTAAAGAACCACCTCAAAGTCCGTCGGAATTAGAAATCGTTTCGATAAATAGTAGATCGGTTAATCTTCAGTGGAAAAGACCATCCGATGGCAATGCGGAAATCAGTAAATACATAATACAATTCAAGGAAGACGATGGTGAGGAAATGAAAAATTTGTGTGTCGAGTGCGGGTGTGTCACGAGGTACGACATGATAATGTTTTGTTTTTTAGTCACGACGACATGGCAAAACGTCGAAGTTGGAATAATACCGTCGGCGATAATCGAAGATCTTAAACCGGATACTAAATATTTGGTCAGAGTCATAGCAGAAGGTACTGCAGGACGTAGTATACCTAGCGAACCGTTGCTAATAAAAACGGAACCACAAAGACCCGCAGGGGCGCCTCTTCACATAAACGTAAGACCCATGTCATCGACGGAAATATTAGTGTCGTGGTCTCCTCCACTTTTTGAACTGAGACACGGTAAAATATTAGGTTATAATGTTGGAATAAAAGAAGCCAGGTGAGTGGTGGTGGTGGTACGGGGGGAGGTATCGTAAGAACCGGTAAAATTTTTTATTGTCGATGGTGTTATTTAATTTTTAGCTCCGCATCGGCAACTTATTCTTTTACCAACATAAATGGTGATGGTGAAGAAGGTGGAGAACTTTTATTAACGGGTTTATCAAAATTTACAAGATATTCGATTGTCATTCGAGCTTTTAATGAAATTGGTTCGGGACCACTTTCGGAACCGATTTTAACTCAAACATTGGAAGATGGTATAAATTTTATAAAAATATTTTTAAATGTTTAAAACTTTTTTTTTTTTTTAAACAAAATAAATTTAAAGTACCCAGCATGGCACCCGAAGACGTGCGTTGTTCTGTGCTGAGTCCGCAATCTTTACAATTAAGTTGGTTACCACCAGCTCCAGCTCATTCCAATGGTATTCTTCAGGGTTATAAAGTTCATATCGAACCACTTCACGATGACGTAATATACGGTAAGTTTTGAAATTTTCCGCCGGTTTTCTTTTCTTTTTAAAAAACTTTAAACGTTTTCTTTTCGTTGTTGTTGTTTTTAGATAATGATGAATTCGAACCAAGAAAAACAACTTCACTTACAATGGTTATTTCCGGTTTGAAAAAATTCACTAATTATAGTATACAATTGTTGGCATATACTCGCGTCGGTGATGGAATATTATCGAAACCGACGTATTGTCAAACGGAAGAAGATGGTGAGATTTTTTTTTTTTTTGTTAACCCAGGAGACCTGGGTAACCTCCCCACCCGGTAGCAGGGAGAGTGTGGGACTTGGCCTCTGATGTAGGCACAGGTCTGTTCTTGTTTGAACGAGCCGAAATTGAACTCCCACCTTCTGGATTTCACGACTCTCAACTCGGTGACTTTGGGTCAACGTGGAAAATCCAAACCCAGAACTTCCCCCCCCCCCCCTTAACATCCTCTTTACCTAGCCTCTAAGTAGTTGGATTACAGGAGTAGTAGCTTACGACTCCCGGCTATCTGAACAATACCGGCGTAATTTCTATTTTTTAGTTCCAGGACCGCCATCGGATATAAAAGTCGTAGTCAAATCATCGGATTCACTTTTAGTTTCATGGCTTCCTCCTAAAGAACCAAATGGTATCATCACAAAGTACAATTTATACATGAGGTGAGTATTAAAATGTTTAAACGATGAAAATGTAAAATTTTTCTACGATGGGTAATTTTTTTTTTCCAGAACCGATAATCCGACAGCAGCCGAATTACACAAAAACAAACATTACGTACCGACTCAACACACCCTATACGAAGTTAAAAATCTTCGTACTCAAGTCGAATATCAATTTTACGTGACGGCATCGACGAAAATCGGTGAAGGACAAAGTTCCAGACTAGTGACGCAACTTCCGAACAACAGAGGTAACCTGAATATTTGCCTGGAGACGTTTTAAGACGTTTAACGTTACGATAAAACTTTTCGCAGTTCCAGCTAGGATAGCGTCTTTCGGCGGCCCAGTTGTATTCCCGCGAAAATCATCTGCGACTTTATCCTGCGATGCCGTCGGTCAACCCGAACCTAAAATGGAATGGTTTAAAAACGATCAACTCCTAAAATTCGAATCCAGTAAAGATTATCAAATTTTAGATTCTGGAGAAATAATATTAACGAATCTTCAACCGGAAGATACTGGAAATTACACTTGTCGTATAGACAATCTACAAAGTTCGGATCGCATAACTTATTACTTGGTAGTTCAAGGTAATAAAATTACTTTCCTGGACAAAAATTTTTGGCGGGAAAAAAAAATTTTTTGTTTTTTTTTAGTGCCCCCATCACCTCCGGTGCTTTACGTAACTAGCGCAACAAGTAGTTCGATACTTTTTCACTGGAAAGCTGGTTCTTCCGGTGGAGCAATCATAACAAGTTTTTTACTTTACTATAGCAGAGATCATTCAGATCCCGAAGAAGTTATTCTTTCTAGAAGAATCACTTCGTATGAATTAAAAGTTTGTATAAGACTCTTCCCTACCGCCATTTTGTCTTTCAAATGAGTTTTGCGTAAATTTTTGTTGTTCTTCTTCGACAGAATTTATCCTGCGGCAGCACATATCATTTATTTTTGATTGCTCAAAACAAAATTGGAAAATCGCCACAATCTTCGACGTTATCGGTCAGAACTCAGGGTGAACCGCCAGGGGTACCACAAGGTACGGCGTTGATACAACCAAATTCAACATCAGTTCTTTTAAGACTTCACGTTTGGCCTGATAGCGGTTGTCCGTTGTTGTATTTCGTCATCCAGTACAGATCAAATACGGATACTTTATGGATATTAGGTGAGTTAAACAAACAAACGAACAAACAAACAATTTGTTTTATAAATTAACAACCCAAAAAAAAAATTTTTCTTTATTCGTAATTTTCCAGTAACGAGTTCATTAAAACCGCAAAAAAGGTTTACCATATCCGGTTTAAAACCACTGACCGTATATCAGCTCAAAATAGAAGCTCATAACATAGCAGGTTCTTCGATGGCCGAATTTACTTTTATAACGTTGACCAAAGATGGAGATCCTCCACCACCGGAATTGGTTACAAGAACTCATCCGAATCATTCTTTATTGAACGATTTCCGTTTTTTAGTTCCGTTATTTTTAGCATTTGCCGCACTATTGGCCGCACTCGTCGCGACAGTTTTCTGCTGGAGAAACAGTACGTTTACCTTAAAAAACTTTTCTTTTTTTAACTTAATAAAAAATTAATTTTTTTTTTAAAGAAATCCTCGACGGTTTTGGTGCAGACCAAGGAAGGCCTTTGAAAGAATCTTTGGATAATCAACATAATTCGGAAGCACAAAGGGAAAGATATTATGCTACCATTCATAAAGTTCCTCTACAAATAAGCAACGAAAAAATTCCAGGTTGAATTTACTTATTACGTCATGTGAATTCTCAATCGCAGAACATAGCAGAAGACATAATTTTTCTTTAATTTTCCAGAAACTTCCGAAGATATATCACCGTACGCAACGTTTCAATTGTCTGAAACGGGTGCACCGACCACAGCCATGCTTCATAGTTTCATGTATCACGAACAAGCTTTAACCGAAGGGTGTAATTCACCGCCGCCACCACCGCCCCTGGTAAGTAATAATATCCACTTGGAACCTCTCGGAAAAAACAACCCTTAAAAAAAAAAAATTAATAAAATTTTTTAGGGAATAAAAATGTCGGAACGAAGAAGGAGCAGGAGTAGGAGTAGAAAACGTGAAGCTGATAGCGATGGTTCAGATTCTGATAACGACCAATTAACTTCCAGCAGAACTGAATCATCTAATCAATTAGATACTTCAAGGTTAAAACAAAGTAAGTAAATTTCACGATCAAGTGATTTTTTGATGGTAAAAAAAAAAAAAAATTGGAATTTTTTTCAGGTTATCTTTATCACGGACCTCATTCAAGTACATCTTCGGACATATCACTAATGTCAGAAGTTAAATCTCTTCCGAGAAGAGGACGCAATAGGTAACTTTTTATTAATAATGATAATTAACACATTGTTACGGGAGAAAAAAAAATTTTTTTGGTTTTTACCCTCCTACCATGTTTAATATAATAAAAAGAATGTTCTTTTTATTGTGCGAACTGTAAGAAGTCACAACCGGTGGATAAATTCCAGCAAAACCTCTCTTCGCTCACTGATACTTCCCCCAATTTCAACCGCCGAAACGAGTTTCAACGGCCTTCCTCCAGACTCTCTGATGCATCCACCGGACAGGCACGATATCAGAGAAACAGAATGCGACATAGACACTATGAAAAAAGTCAAAATGGGACTGAGATCATCGCTTTGGTCTCGCCCTTCAGGCCTTACTAAGCCTACGACGGATTATTCCATTGCCGTTTAAAACGCGGTTGTTCTCTTTTTCTTCGTCTCCGGAAACGGAAATAATTGACAGGAAAAGAGAAACACAGAATATTAAAAAAAAAATTAAAAATTTTATTAAATTATGCTGTTGCCAAATTTTATAAAAAATATTTTTAATCGTTTAAGAGTTATTGCAAAAATTTTTACAATTTTTTTCTTTTTTTTATAAAATGAGCTTGCGTACGCATACGTTTTACATAAAAATTGGTCAACGTAACAAAAATATTTTTTCTTTGTTTTTTTTTTATAAGATGAGCTTGCGTACGCGTAAGTTTTACATGACAAAAATTAGTCAACGTAATAAAAAAATATTTTCTTTTTTTTCTTTTTATAAGATGAGCTTGCGTACGCATACGTTTTACATAAAAATTGGTCAACGTAACAAAAGTATTTTTTCTTTGTTTTCTTTTTATAAGATGAGCTTGCGTACGCGTAAGTTTTACATAACAAAAATTAGTCAAGGTAACAAAAAAATATTTTCTTTGTTTTCTTTTTATAAGATGAGCTTGCGTACGCATACGTTTTACATAAAAATTGGTCAACGTAACAAAAATATTTTTTCTTTGTTTTTTTTTTATAAGATGAGCTTGCGTACGCGTAAGTTTTACATAACAAAAACTAGTCAACGTAATAAAAAAATATTTTCTTTTTCTTCTTTTTATAAGATGAGCTTGCGTACGCATACGTTTTACATAAAAATTGGTCAACGTAACAAAAATATTTTTTCTTTGTTTTCTTTTTATAAGATGAGCTTGCGTACGCATAAGTTTTACATAACAAAAACTAGTCAACGTAATAAAAAAATATTTTCTTTTTCTTCTTTTTATAAGATGAGCTTGCGTACGCATACGTTTTACATAAAAATTGATCGACGTAACAAAAATATTTTTTCTTTGTTTTCTTTTTATAAGATGAGCTTGCGTACGCATAAGTTTTACATGACAAAAATTAGTCAAAGTAAAAAAAAATTTCTTTTTTTAAAAAAAAATTTTTTTCCCTAAAAAAAAATTTTCTTTTTTTTTTTTATAAAATAAGCTCACGTACGCATAAGTTTTACATGAAAAAAATTAGTCAACGTATCAAAAAAAAAATTTTTTTCATGTTTTTCCGCTGCAAAAATTGTTCTAAATTTTTGCATTCGACTCTTAAATAAATTGTTTAAACAATTTTATAAAATTTTTCGTTTTTCGTTTTTTTTGTTAAATAATTTATAAAATTATGTAAAAAAAAAAAAAGAAAATTTTATTGTAAAAATTAAATAACAATGAAGTTAACAAAAAAAAAAAAAAATGATAATAATAATTAATTTTTTTTACATCGAAACATTATGTTTTACAGGTATGTACATTACAACGGATGCCATTTTGTCTTTATACATAAAGATTGGAAAATGAAACAAAAGAATATTGGTAAAATTTCAACAAGGATATAATCGATCCATCGAACACTACTAATTGAAGAGCAAAAAAAAAATTTTGAATATGGCCGATGTTTATTTACACATATAATTATCGAAGTAAAATCTTTATCATTATTATTATTAATAATTTAAATTCGGCGTGACAACGTCAGTTTTTAACGTCGTCGTCGTCGGTGTCGTCGTCGTTGGGATTTCTCCTGTCGGAATCGCCGTCGAATTTGAAGTATCAAAAGCAGACGATTCGTTAATTTTAATAAAAATTTCTTCTCCTTTTGATTTTTTTTCTGCTTCGTTAACAACTTCTTTCAATAAATCAATATCGAGAAGTTTAATATCCGTTTCGTAAAAACTATTTAAAAAAAAAAACAAAAAAAATTTTAATTTTGAAAAAAAAAAAAACCCGGAAAAAATTTAATTTACCAAACTTACTCGGTAGAATTTGTAACGTCCGTTAAATTCGAATCAGCAGTTCCATTATCGTCTAATATACCGACTTCGAATTCGATTGTTTTAACGATGTTTGTTATTACCAACCTTGTAAAAAAAAAAAAAAAAAATTTTTTAAATAACGTTTACGTTAAAAAATTTAACAAAAAAAAATTTACCTGGAATTATTACCCAGATGATGAGAAGAAACGTTTAAATTTTCATCGTGTACTACCGGAAGTGTCGTTGATTCTTCCGCCTTTTCCGTCGTTGGAAACGATTGCGTACCGGAAAAAATTATCGATAAACCACCGATAAAAATAAATAAAAACGCTGACGCAGAATTTATCTATTAAAATAAATAAATAAAATATCGATACGCTCTTTAAAATCCGTTAAACTAATAATAATAATAATAATAATAATTAAAAACTCACCATTTTGTTTTTTAAAAAAAATTTTTAATTTGTGCGTGTGTGTGTGTGTGTGTTTCCTTTGCGAATTTAAAATCGTAATTTAAAAAAAATTTCATACATCTTAAATATAAATTGATCAAATAATTAGTTAGCTAATTAAAAATTTACCCGATCAATTATCGATTGATCGAAAAAAAAAAAAAATGTGAGAATTAATAAATGAATCACTTTTATAAACTACGCCATTTTTTTGCGTTTTGCAATTCGTTAAAAATTTTCGAAATTTGTTAATTTTTTTTTTAAATATTATTTCCGGAATTTAGTACAACAACATTTTCACCTCACAATTTTTTTTTTAATAATAATAATAATAAATACTTTTAACCTAATTTTTTTAGATTGTTTGTACGTAAGAAACATATTAAAAAGCAATTCAATGATGTAAAGATCAAAAAACGACGAGTTGAGAGTCATGAGTTCAAATCCTAGGAGAGGGAGTTCAATTTCAGATCGTCCGACACAAGAACAGACCTAAATAAGGGGATAAGTGACCTAGAACCCTATCGAGGTATTGGAGATGCGTCGACCCTTGTTCGAGAGGGTGAAACTGAGTACTTGATCTAAATAGGAAAAATGCGGAGCTGCGAGGAGATAGGAACAGATGAACGATCCACGAGATTCGGGACCCCAGACATCTCTCTCTCTCTCTCTCTCTCTCTTTAAACACTCGCAGACTCTGCGGAAGAGGCAGGAACGATGGTTACGGATTGGGATTGTTTCTAGAAGGGTAAAAAGAAGGAGTACCCGGATCTTCCTCAGGTGCAATTTCCCATTTTCTGAAACTTGACTTATCGTCTCACCCAGGTCCTCACGGGTCACGGCGTTGTTCGGCTCGTACTTGGCGCGTAAAAAGTAAAATTTTTTTGACGTTACGTCGCTCTCCCTTCTCCCTCAAATTTCCCCGAAAAAAGAACAGAACAAAACGTTCGATAAAAAATGAACGCCATTTTTTTAAAAATAAAAAATGATGTCATCGTTTTCAAAATAAAAAAAAATGCGCAAAAGTTAATATTGTCAGTGGAAAGTTAAAACAAAAGGAAAATATAGAAGGCGCTGGAGAAGAACTTATTAAAGAATTCGACTTTGGATCAACATACAAATATCTGGGGATTGAAGAAAATTTTGGGGGTAGCCAAAAATGAAATTAAACCACGATGAAGAAAGAATATTTTAAAAGATTGAGGCTTATATTACAGTCGGAACTGAATGAAAGAAATAAGTTAAACTCCATCGGCACATTAGCAGTTCCAGTAATAGAATGCAGTTTTGGCCTTGTCGAATGGACAAAAGGAGAAATCATGCACCTGGACAGAAGAACAAGGAAAATATTAACTATGAATGGTGCGTTACATCAAAAAAGCTGATGTGGATATATTGTACGTCAGCTGGAAAGATGGAGGAAGAGGATTACGACAAATAGAAGCGGCATACCAAATCCGAGTCGTGAGTTCAATTATCTAAATTAAACGATAATAAAATTAATAATATAAATAATAAAATAATAATAATAATAGTCTCATCGGAGATGATAATAATCAAAACGATGATAATAATATTGAATTTAATAACACTCATAAATGAATGATAATAATAATGATGATGAAAAAAACGAGATATAAAAATAAGTATTTGAATATTATTATTTTTTTTTTTTCGTATTTTATTTTTAAAAGTTTTTTTATTTATTTTTAAACCTCGTTTTTTTTTTTTTTTTAAATATTTTAAATATCGAAACAAAACGCTAATATGAAAACTTTTATTATTATTAATATTATTAAAAGTTTGAATTAATTAATAATTTTCTATTATTATTATTATTTGAACAGCCTGGCATTATCGTTGTGAAAGACAATTTCTTTGCTATTGGCTAGTTATGGTCGTTTTTCTTGGATGGTATCATTTAAATTTGTCAATTGTTGAATGTAAACCTCTGAATTTATGGTCTGACTTCAAGGCAGCAGCTAAAAGTTGACTATGCTTTTGTAATCCCACCAAAATGATAACAATAACTTTTTTGATGAATGTCAGCCTTAGAAGTTCTAAGGTGCCTGTTTCCTTGCCTAGACCAGGAACCTTTTCTCAAAAAGTCACCATAAACAACCTACTTTTCATCTCCGGTGACCATTCTTTCAAAAAAGGGTCATTCCCATTGCATTTAAGAAACATATCACAAAGACCCATCAAGCTTCTTTTGGTACCAAAGTCGCCGCAGATGGTTTTTGACGCACGTATGTGACTCATCTAGCTTCTTTACAATGTCCTTAGTCGAAGTATGCCGATCATTATCAATGAGGGCCTTTATTTGCTCATCATTAACCTCCAATGGACGCTCGGAGCACTCCTCATTTTTCAAAGGAAAATTTCCAGAACGGAATTTCGCAAACCAGTTGTGACACTGCCGTTCTATTAAGGTTTCATCCCCCTACACGGCCCACAACTTTTTATTGGCTTGTGAAGCATTAACACCCTTTCAGAAATAAAAAAGCAAAATGTGGAGGAAATGCTCGCTTTGGCTCCCCATGTTTAAATGTCTTTTGCTCGCGCACTATTTAAGAGTTCAATTGAAATTTTGGTACTGAATGTTACAGAAGGAACCAAGTAATAACATACCAAAAGTTCATGTTTGTACATAAACGTAAACGTACTCAAAAAAATGGA